ATTCTTGTCTTCTAGCACCTGCCATAGCTTGGCTAATGGGACACTGTCATCCCAAATTCTTACTTATACTTTAAATGAAAATGAACAAAATTCACCACTTAAGGGCTACATTGACAATCAAAATGCACCTTTTTTATTGATACCAGTGCAACCAGATTTTTTATTTAACTGGATTTCTGAATGAAAACTACAGCCAACTAAAACAAACTTAGTTTTTGAAACAGCTTCAGGTCACATCATTCCAATTCAAGAAAAGATAACGACAGCCAAACAGATTGGTAACACCTTGATAAAATATCTATGCCTTGTAACCGATATTAAATAGGAATGCATTCTTGGAATGATTACGTAGAACAAATTGATCATAGATCATCAAAATAAAATTGTGTTTATTGAAAATGAAGAAGTCCTAAATTTAGAAGAATCGATACTTCACGTAAGAGTTATAGTGCTTGAGGATACAGAAATTTCTCAAAATTCTGAAAGTATCGTCCTGACGAGACTAAGTCCAAAAACCTGAAGGTCTACATCTCAGCGTTGAAGAAAGCGAGGAACTCATTGGTGACGGAATTTTGATAGCTAGATGCCTCGTTAATATAGATGAAATAATTTCAGTAAGGGGTTGCTAATTTGTCTAAAAAGATTTTTAAATTCAAGAAAGAACAACAAATAGCATTGTGTACACCAATAGAAAAAATAAGCAAGTGCGAAAACTTGACGCTAGCCTTGTGAAACAACTAATCAAAAGTTTTGATCACTTAACAACTAAAGAATTAAACAAAATTAACGAAATTATCAATGAAAACTACGATATTTTTAAAACTGAGAAATCTACTGGGCGTTCTAGTTTAATTTAACATAGAATTTGTACTGGAGATGCAAGACCAACTCGTCAAGAGCCACGGAGATTGATATTTGCTAGACAAAAAAAGAAGATTTACAACATTTATAAGTGGCCGTGGTCTCTACAGGTTCCAGGGTCTAGCATTTGGTCTGAGTAGTAATCCAGCAGCGTTTGAACGTCTAATGGATATAGTTTTAAGAGGACCTACCTAGAAAATAAGTCTAGTATATCTTGAGAATATAATGATTATGTCCAAAACTTTTGATGAACATCTGAAAAAAAGTTAAGCAAGGTTTTTGACAAATTGAGAAACGCCAATTTAAAGTTAAATTATAAGAAATGTTCACTACTTTAAAAAGAGACATACTACTTAGGACATATCGTTTCAGTAGAAGGAATTAAAACTGACTTAGAGAAAATTTCAGTTTTTGATTGGAAAAAGAAAGATTGAAAGATTGACTAAACCAAAAAACAAAAAGGAAATTTGAAGTTTCCTTGAACTCTGTCCATATTACCGAAAATTATCAATGGTTTTTGACCGCATAGAGTAAAATCGCTTTATAGAGTAAAACAAGTTTTACAATTTCACCTCTCCTAGCCCATCCACGTAAAGATGGCAAATCTTCCCGTGAAAAGGATGAAAAGAATTATTGCGTTACCAGAAAAGAACTCCTAGCTATTATTATAAAAGTCTAAAACATTTTCATACTTTTCTTTATGACAGAAATTTATAATTAGAACTGACCACAACGCTTTTTAGTAGCTAATGAATTTTAAAAAGAAAGGACAAGCTGCTGGATGGATAGAGAGACTCCAACAGTATAACTTCGACGTAGTACATCGAAAAGGGCGTCTACATACATAACAATGCCGATATTCTTTCTAGGTGACCCTGTTTGGAACTTCACTGACAGTACTGTAAAAGACTTGGAGATAAAGAGAACATAACCGAAGAAGTAAATTTCCCGGTAACCACATGTATATAGGAAGAAGATAATAATTAAAATTTCCTGGAAATACTTAAAAAGAGTCAAAAGAAAGATAATGACTTAAATGTGAGACGCAGGTGACGCAGGCAACGCAGCGTAGGGCAGCACAGGTTTCTGTTTTCTGTACAATTACATTATCCGCACGAATGGGAACGCAGGACAGGGCAGCACAGAACTGTGTTTAAGAAAACCTGCCAGCGGAGTCATCCGGACACAGATTCCTGTGCCACGTGCAGAGAAGTTTGTTTGTTTCTAGTAAAATTGTGTGTGATTATATTCGAAATGAATGAACAATTAATTGAATTGGTGAGAAGCCAGACAATTCTTTACGATACCAACGATCCCAATTATTTAAAAGCAAAATAGAAGGATGAATTATGGAATGTATAGGAAAAAAAACTAAATTTAAAAAGCAGTAAGTTAAACAAATACTTCTAATTATATTAATTATATCAAAACAGTAATTTTTCTAAGTGGGCTGCTTGAGAAAAAATTACCATTGCTGAATCTTCCCATTGACCCAACATTAACGGTAGTAAATTTATAATTTGCATTAACGGTAGCCATTAAAACAATGGAACAATGTTGTTTGTAATTGTAGTATGAGGAGCCAGTTTTTGGTGGTTTGTTAATTACGATATGTTTCCCGTCGACAGCTCTCACGCAATGAGGGAAATGCCATTTCTTCTCAAAATCCGATGACATTGCTTGCCACATTTCAGTAGTTGGTTTTGCCAAGTACAGTGGTTGCATGTTGGTCCATATTGCAACAGATATTTCGTTTACTATTTTAGCTACTGTTCGATCCCCCATTCTATAGCTGTACGCTATGCTTCTGTAGCTATCTCCAGAAGCTATATACCTACAAAAGAGTTACATCTGTATTACTATTTTTCAATACATCATGCAATATTGTATAAGTCTTTTATCCCTAAAAACAAAAACTTTGTTACAGGAAATGAGGCGAAGAGACTTTGGCTTAAGCTTCGTAACTGCCACTGCGATGCACTGCGAAGACAGAAAAAGTGTCTAAAAAGCGGAGCTGCTGCTGTCATCATAAAAAAAAAGAAATTGTCCAACAGATTACGTGAAAGTAATTTACAAGAAGATAGTGAAGATGAAGACCCCCAACAGAAAGACTCCATAGTTGATCCAGACAGTGAAATTTTTGATGAGGTGACCACCGACATTCGACATGATTCCAAAGAAATAGAGAATGTTAAAAATGACATTGTTAATGAGCCGTCTACGTCTGGTATTGTTATACAAAAAAATAACGAAAAAGAAAATGCCAAACGTAAGGCAACTGAAGACCAATCAATTACAATCAAAGCAGCTAAAAAAAAAAGAAACCTAAAATAATAATATATAGGAAGTGATAAAGCAGTCAGTTATGCAACGCCAAAAAAGGGTCGAAGAAAGAGCAGTTGAAAGGGCAGCACAGAAGTCTTTGGATGATGATTACAACTCTAGAAGCACCAGTAATTATTTATCTACACTCACCCCCAGGTTGTCTGCTAAGACATCTCCTCAAACCGCTAATACTGGTAATATTCGTAATTTTGTGGAAAATTATAGACTATAGAATTATGAATGTTTAAAATGATATTTTTGTATTTTTTAATAAAACGTAAAATTAATAAAAATAATAGTTTTTCTTTGGTTCCTATTGGATTTTGGGCATTACAACCATCTGAATAAATACTGTTTTCATTATATTATATACTTCATCAACTTGTTTTCTGCTTAACCGAAAATAATTTAAATAACGAGGCTCAGAGAATTCAGATGATAGTGCAAATTCCCCATGAGTATTTCTCTTTTTCGTATAGTTTGCTTTTTCAAAATAATTTTTTCTCTCTGACATGTTGGATAATAAAACTGTTTCTTCAAATTCTGCGTCTGACTCTGATTGGGAACTGTCCAGAAATAACGCCATTATTTAAATTATAAAATTCTCTTTCTATGTTCATATAATATATTTGATATTCGCATCTTAAAATTTTCGAGAGGACTGCTTCCAAATATGCGCTCACACTGCGTGACACCTATGCTTTCTGACCTGTGTAACCTGCTCTGTACTGCGTCGCTTGTGTCACCTGCGTCCCAATGTGCTGGGGTCACCAATTATATTCTCTGAGGATCCGTTTCGAAAACCTACTACACTTTCGCAGTCCGGACACTAAGCCAGGCAGTGGCGTAACCAAAGGGGGGGTTACTCAGAAACCCTCCACTAGATGTAACCCCAATTATATAGTTGAAACCAGGCAACTAGGCCACCTCGTTTAGGGAGGTGGTCCTATCTTCCTGATACTCAATCATTTCCATCTGAAGGGCAGCTGCTTTGTTACTCTTAAAGACGTCTGCTGCTTCGCTAGTTCATACACCATAAGCCTTGAGTGAAAAACTGTTTCTTAACATTTTCAATTTTGTGGAAATCAGGAAATCGTTTTTTTAAATTACAAATCAAGTTCATTAATAAAAATGAGAACTGGGTAACATCAATATCTTTATTGCTATCAGAAAAAAGTTTAATCTTTTTAGCAAAACTTCTAATATCCGACAAAAGTTCACAGACAAGTTTTTCCTTGCATGTTGCAACGTTTTCTGTGTCCAAGAGAAAGCCCAAATGGTCATTTGCAGCTTAATTATCAATAGTGGACAATAATTCTTTTATGTTGTTAAGTAGTGCAAAGAATATTTTAAGCAGTAAACCAATGCTCAGCCATCTTAGGTCATTATGAAGAAGCACATTATCAAACTGAGCATTAGTGTCTTCTAGGAATGATTTGAATTGACGATGCCTCAAAGATGATATTGCATGCACAAAGTTCACTATCTTTATGACGGTTTGCATTTTACTGTAAAGATTTGGATTTAAATTATAACACAACACAATTTGATAAATTTTTCGTCAAATATTTTATGTTTTGTTTTGTAATGCCATTTACCATTCGAATTTTTAATTATTGCCACAGTCTGATAGCAAATCAAACAAGCAGGTACTGTTCCAACTCGGTTTGACAAAGTGAAACAATATAAATCTGTCCATTCAGATTGAGACTACCTGTTTTCTGATTCAATTTTTCTTATAACTTTCATAAAACTCAGATGATATAGTGAGCATCGACAATTCACACTCAGATTATAAATATGAACAAAACAAAAAAAGTAAAGTAAATTATATATTTATTTATTTAAAATAGTCTCGAACAAGGAAAGAAAGGACATAATTTAGTTACAATTTTCTTGATCTGTCTTTATTAGTAAATTATCAGATAGTTTATTCTTTTTGACTACATTGAGAGCTGCATCTATAATATCTTGCGATGGATTCTGAGCTCTTGTAAGTATCCAGACGGTTTCTGAAATAAATAAAAAAACTTCTTAAAAAATTATTATATCAATACTATTAATATCATTATAATTTCTATAGCACATCATTCACATCCAGCACATATAGTTCGAATTATACACAGTGCGTAAATCTTTCAGCTGGAAATAGGTACCTATAGTCGGACAATTTTCAATTAAAGGTGACTAATCTACAAATTGAACTAAACGGTAGTGGCAACCATGAAAAATTTCATTAGTAAATTCTTACCGGGGTCATTTTTATTGTGTATGCTTCGCCCATGTAAATATGTAAATTTGTAACCCATGTAAGATAAATTTGCCCCCGTAACAATATAAATTGGTGCGATTCACGAGTGTATAGTGAGACAAGTTCATTGAGTAAATTGGAACATCGGTAAAATTATCAATATTTTGCTGGTCTATATATATTTACGTTGTTAGAAAGAATGTTAATTAGAGAAATATTGAAGTTTATGAAATATGATATCTTCCAGATTATATACATCTGCGCATAGGCGTAGTGTATTATTGGGAATATATTTATTAAATATACCTACTTTATTAATAACTTTAAAATAGTTTTGAGGTAAGTAAAGTAAATTTGAGGCCAGTTTATTCTTTATATAGTATTAAACCCTTAACGGCCTCTCAATATACAAAGAGAAATTTGACAATTAATTTATTAGATTGGATTAAAAACACAAATTAGGAATAAATTACAATCAAAAAGATTTTTTTTCTCATTTTTAAGGAAAACAGTACAATTTTTAATAAAGGAACATATTGTATCTTAAACGTAAATTAAATTTTAAGGTAAAAATTTTCGAAATATTCGGGGTCAGATGCATTCTACACTTTTTAAATAAATAAATAGTATTACTTTTGTACATCCTACATTTTTGCACTATCGTATCTTTTTATAATATGGCCAATATTGTCGAATCTGGTTTCATCTGTTAAAGCAAATTTAGATTGACGCCCATATACTGACACTGATGTAGCAGTTTCTTCACTATTATAAATTAAAATTATAAATCTATGTCGGCTCATGCTTTCTCTTATAATATGCACTTCTTTATCCTCATCCTTTGACCAATGCATATCAACTTGAAGCAGAGTTTAAACCAGATAATATACATATGCTAATAATTTTTTTAAATCTATGTTATTCATTTCAAAAGTGTGACGGTTATTCTCAATTACTTTTTTATCAAAAAGAGTGAAAAAACTTCAATATATGATTTGCCTACATTGTTGGCTTTTATATTGTCTAAATATCAATCAGACTGATGTTGAATTACTACGGAGCACGAAAGAATATCCGTTATTACAACTTGAGATAAATTTGGATTTACTATTTTTGCCTGGTTTTTTCTTTGGACGTTTTATCTATAGTTCAGAGGAATATCATAATCAGAATCGTTAGAATTTCCAATCACTTGTATTTCATATGTACCTGCAATATCCGATTTTATTGATTCTTCACAAATAATATTATTATCAATCTCTTCAAGGAATACAATAATATACCAGCAAACGAAGGGTAAAGATACCTGACGGAACTGTTTAAAGCAAAGGAAAATAATAATCAACACAATAACGTACCTGAACTAAGAGACGAAATAGAAATCAGTTTTCACGAAGTAGAAATAGTCATAAATTCACTCAAAAATAGAAAGTCACCAGGACCAGACGGAATAACCAACGAGTTTATAAACCACGGATGAGAAAGTTTAACCCTAGAGATGACAAAACTTATACAAAAACTAATATTGCACTGCAAGATATCAGACGCATGGAGAAACAACATAATGATACCAATGGTCAAGAAAGGAGATAAAGAAGACCCCAACAATTATAGAGGTATACATCTACTGAACACCGCACTTAAGCTTACCACAAAAGTCCTAACCAACAAAATCAATAAACTAACAACTTTATCAGATGAACAACAAGGATTCAGATCCGGATGATCCTGCGTAGACGCCGTATTTGTACTAAGACAAATCACAGAAAAGGCCATCATATCTATGTTTTATAGACCTGACAAAGGCTTTCGATCGCATCCAAGTCGAAGACGTCTTACACATACTGTATAAAAGGAACAGACCAATCAATATTATACAAACCATCGAAATCATCTTCCTCCATAATCAAATACAGGCAAAGATAAATGGAAAACTAACACAGTGTATACCAGTACAAAGCGGAATCAGACAGGGTGACTCGTTAAGCCCACTTCTGTTTAATATATTAATGGACGAAATAATACAAGCAGTACGTAAAAGTCATGGCTGCAGAATTGGGAACAAAGGAATGCAAATATTATGTTATGCAGACGACGCCGCATTAATCGCCGAGACAGAAGACGAGCTCTAAAGATTAAAACATATCTTCAATACAACAGCTAAGAAATACAATATGATAATATCAGCGAAAAAATACAAATGTATGACATTTAAATACCCACTACGGTGTAAAATCGAAATTAATGGGAAAATAATAAAGCCGGAAGCAAGGGTTAGATATCTGGGAATAGGTATAACTAGTTACGGAGATGTTGAAGAAGAAGTACGACAGCAAAGCTTAAAAGCAAGTAAAGCGGCGGGTTCTCTTCATGACACAATCTGGAAGAACAAACACCTAAGACAAGACACAAAAACAAGAGTCTATAAAGCAGGAATTAGACCTATATTAACATACACGGATAGACAAGACCTGACACATCTAAAACGAGACGACTGCTAGAAACAACAGAGATGAAAATACTCCGACGAATATCAAGGAGAAGTCTGTTGGATAGGGAGAGAAGCAAAAACATAAGAAGAGCATGCAATATAGAAGACATAAATGGATGGGTGACAAAACGAAAACAAAAGTGGAACAAACACATCAGTAGAATGGCGGAGGATAGAATAGTACGAATAGCACGAGATAAGTCACCAAATGGACGAAGAAGTATTGGCAGACCAAGAAAAAGATGGTGCGACAATTTAAACAATTTAGGAAGCTAATATTGAAGAAGAAACAGGCTTTAAAGTCTACAAACTAGAAGAAGAAGAAGAAGAAGATCAATGTCTTCTACATCAGAAACTTTCTAATCAAATCTCGGCGGCAAATAAACCACATTAAGTGGCATTTTCACAATCTGAGTCTTCTTCTAACAAAGCTATTAACTCTTTAGTAGTTAGTGCCATCTTCATTTCATATTTCGAGAAGTTACTGAAATAAACAAATGCACTGCTATATAAACGAATTCATATGATAATAGTTTAGCTTACTTCATTTTAATTTATATTAACTTCATAATATATTTTCATATTTATATAAACAAATAAACACAAGCAAACTTTCAAATTAAGTTAAAAAAAACAAATATAACGTTTACAGCACACAGCAATTCTATAAATAGAGAATGAAGTGTAATTAAAATTGGAGATTGTTTTTAGTCTAATGAAAAAAAAATATTTTCCAAAGTTTTCTGTTTTTTGAAGTTATGTATTAGATACTGTCTAATAAGAATAAAATTTTATTTTATTTTGTTAGACAACTATAAGATACCTGTTAAAAGATACATGATAATTTAATAATTAAATCGGTCTTAGATTTAATTTTTACGTAATTACTTATGTGTTTAAATAAATAATTAAATTTTTTTTTTGGTACGCCTCTGCAAAATTGATAATTTCAATACGATTTCGTTGAAAAGTTATCGTTAAGGGCTTCGTTAAGTCCGATGTTGCCAAGTAATCACCTTCAATTAAAAATTGTTTTAGTATAATATACATTGAGGTAATTTTGACCACTGCACTTTTTTAAGTCCACTACTGTTGTCAAGGCCACCTGTTGGAAAATCATACGATTCTAGAGTCGTGGTTATTTCATTATTTTTGTTTAGAATTTAATTATTTTATTATAAATTTATTCTAGTAATATGTCTGTGTTAGTGTCTTAAATCCACACATATCATTCAAAAATGAATCATGCTATCTAAAAACTGTTATCAACAAGTAAATATGCTGTGGTGGAGAAGATAGTACTGCCATGAAATTTATACTTGTCATAGTATTAAATTGTTGTTGATTATTTAAAATTAAATAGTCTGGATAGTATCTTCGTGGGAATTGCATACCAGGTAAATTATTCGGCAAGAATGTTATTTAAAACATGCGAACAGTTTTTCCAATCAGTGTTTATCGTTGTTGGTATAGTGTATAGTATACTTATTTTGTGAATTAGTTTTTTATTTTTGTTTTGAAGTAAGAAAAAATATTAGGTTAAACTAACACGATTTCCCGTATATTCCATTTTTGTAGAATAAAAATAAATATAAACAGTCGTAAAGGTCCCGTCATTTAGGAAGGCATATGTTGCATATTATGAGGCATATCGAAACTGTATAAGAACCGCCTTTGAAGTTGGTGATTGGTTAATTAAATTTTAACTAAACGACAGTGGCACGCACGATTTAGTAGATACAGCTAAAACATATTATATTGAATAAAAGCGATTTTTTACTTTTCAATAATTTTGAACATGTAGCCAACATTTGAAAAATGATCAGTAAGATATTTGATAAGACAAAAACAATAATACCTTCGTAATATGTTTTACCTAAACAAACAAACTATTTTACTTATTGTACAAAAGAATTATTAAGTTCTGAATATTGATAAGTTTAACAAAATGGATTTTTAAAATAGCAATTAATTGTCATGCGTATTTTCCAAAATATCAAATACCAATACAATACCAAAATATTAAAGAGTGAGGATAATTATTTGGTAATGAACGGTCCCAATTACATGTACCTAGAACTTCTACCTGATTTAATTCTTTTGTTGGAAGCCTTTTAGTGATATAATAAAGTCATTTGAGAAAAGTCTAATTTCATGGACCTACCCGATTTAAGACGTTTCTTGAAAATATATATTAGCGATATAATAAAGACTACCCTCAATATTGCTGTCCTTCTAAAATATAGGTATGCACATCTAAATTTGTAAAC